CTCAAGATTGAAGAAGCCGCAAGTCCAGAAAACTGTGAGGGCAAACTTTTTCGGAGTGAAAGTTGTAAACTCTTGAAACAATCTACCAGAGAGTGTTGTGACGGCACTGAGTGTGAGCTCTTTCAAGACCAGACTTGACCAACACTGGAGCAGGTTCAGGTTCATTCAGGAGCCGGTGCATGCCCAGTACTTGCCAACAGTGCGTAACAGACGTGACCGATCGCCCAAGCGGCTAACGAGCCGATCTTTTGGTGAAGAGCATAAAAGTAAAGTAAAAGTAAAGGCGTCACAGCTCCGTAAATAAGCATTAGCCCCCAAAACAAAGGTCATATTAGTTAAAAAAAAAAAAAAAAAACGAATTTAGTAATAAAAATTCAGTTAAACATGAAATGAATCTTTACCGATAAAGGTTTTCTTAATTCAAGAAAAAAAAGGTGTTTTAGATAGTCAAAGTTTTTTAAAGAATATTTTATTCAGTTATACTAAGTAATATAACGTTTTCTATAAACACTTTGTTTAAGAGCACCAGTAAAAGTTTATGGATAACTTATATAATTTTTATCGCCACTTGACCCTACTCTACATGCTTCCAAGAAAAGAAATATACATGACAAGTGTTTAGAATTGATTCTTCTATGTGAATTATATTTAATGACACAACCAGAGTATAATTCTTTTTCATACATTATTTTTTTTTAATAATTAAATTTTAGGAATGAATATTTCTTCTCGTCATAGCTAGAGGTTCCTGGCAGTGAGGTTCTTATGTTGATTTATGTATTTGTGTTTCCCATACTCTCTCTTTTCATCAGCAATAATAAACAAAATAACTTACTCCAAGCCGCGTATCTTAAACTAGACGAGAGAGGACTTAGTTGCATCGCCTACAAGATAACGTTACTTATATGACACTAGTCCTGTTCTGCTAGTGGGAGGGAAGAGGCGTGAAGGTTGGTCAAAATGGTCGTATTTTAACCAACAGAAAATATGAATACCGGATTTACATTTAATTAATATAATTTTTGTTAGTGCGTATTAGACTAATAATTTTATTAACATCCCCCTTGCCCACCCTCCACTTGCCCACCCTCACTCTTACCCACCCTCTCTCCTGCCCACCTGTCCACCTCTCCCTCCTGCACACCTGTCCACCCTTCCTTTTGCCCACTCTCCCTTTTGCCCAACCTCCCTCCTGGCCACCCTCCATCCTGCCCACCCTCCCTCCCTCTTACCCATCCTCCCACCTGCCCATCCTCCCACCTGCCCAGCCTCCCTCCTGCCCAATTTCCCTTCTGCTCATCCTCCATTCCTGCCCACTCCTCTTTCTGCCTCCCTCCCTCCTGGGCCAATCTCCTCTCCACCCCATCTCCTGCCAACCTCTTCCTGCCACCTCCCACCTACCCACCCTCCCACCTGCCCACCCTTCCTTCTGCCAACACAATACAGCACAATACAGCACAACACAGCACAGCACAGGAGAAAGTATTTGGCTTGAGATAAAATATATTCCGATCCATTTGTGTTGGGGTGTTGTGTGTGGAGAGGTGGAGGCGGAGTGGAGGTGTGGAGAGGTAGGTGGGGGGGAGGTTAGACAGAGTATGGAGGGTGAGACAGAGTGTGGAGGGTTAGACAGAGTGTGGAGGGTGAGACAGAGTGTGGAGGGTGAGACAGAGTGTGGAGGGTGAGACAGAGTGTGGAGGGTAAGACAGAGTGTGGAGGGTGAGACAGAGTGTGGAGGGTTAGACAGAGTGTGGAGGGTGAGGCAGAGTGTGGAGGGTTAGACAGAGGTGGAGGAGACAGAGTGTGGAGGGTTAGACAGAGTGTGGAGGGTGAGGCAGAGTGTGGAGGGTTAGACAGAGTGTGGAGGGTTAGACAGAGTGTGGAGGTGAGGCAGAGTGTGGAGGTGAGACAGAGTGTGGAGGAGTAAGACAGAGTGTGGAGGGTGAGACAGAATGTGGAGGGTGACACAGAGTGTGGAGGTGAGGCAGAGTGTGGAGGGTGAGACAGAATATGGAGGGTGAGGCAGAGTGTGGAGGGGTTAGACAGAGTGGAGGGTGACACAGAGTGTGGAGGGGTGAGCCAGAGTGTGGAGGGTTAGACAGAGTGTGGAGGGGTGAGACCCAGGTGTGGAGGAGTGTGGAGGGTGAGACAGGTGTGGAGGGTGAGACAGAGTGTGGAGGTGTAGAGTGTGGAGATTTGTTTATAATATGGGGGTAATACAGGAGAGGGTCAGGTAGAGATTGTTGAAGGTGGACAAGGGTGTGGAAGGAGGGGAAGGATGGAGGTGAGGGATGGAGGTAAGGGATGGAGGAGGGAGGGAGAGAGGGTGAGGGAGAGAGGGGAAGGGAGGGAGGGGAGGGAGGGTGGGAGAGGTGGGTATATGAGCACTTTAAACCGGCTCCCTACAGCAGGTCATTCACCTGCCGTCAGCCACCACCGAGCGCCCTCACGCTCTTCCTAGGTCCTCCACACTGTCCTGTTCAGTCGTACCTGTTTCTCTACGCAGGTTCTAATGTAATGGTTCTACCCCTTGACATGACCTTCTTTACTCAGGGTTCAATAGACTGGTTCTAATGTAATGGTTCTACCCCTTGACATGACCTTCTTTACTCAGGGTTCTATACGCACTGGTCAAATGGACCCTCAGTTCTAATATAGGTCCTAGCCTAGAATAACCTAACCTAACCTGTCCTGGGTAGTGGTGCAGATGATGGGGGGTGTTGCAGGTGTTAGGTTGCACAGGGTTGAGTACTGTTGTGTGTGCAATAATTATCTTGCATGTGTATATTTTGATTCTATGGTCCACTTGGTGTATTTTCATCGAGACTGACTTCGTAATTGTGTAGAAAGTTTGTTATAGGCTCAGGTCATAGGTCAAGGTTATAGGTGAGAGTTATAGGCTCAGGTCACAGGTCAAGGTTATAGGTGAAGGTTATTCATAGGCTTAGGTCATTGGTTAAGGTTATAAGTGCTGGTTATTGGTTAAGGTCATAGGTCAAGGCTATAAGTGAAGGTTATAGGCTCAGGTCATAGGTCAAGGTTATAGGTGAAGGTTATAGGCCCAGGTCATAGGTCAATGTTGTAGGTGAAGGTTATAGGTGAAGGTTATAGGCTCAGGTCATAGGTCAATGTTGTAGGTGAAGGTTATAGTCCCAGGTCATAGGTCAATGTTGTAGGTGAAGGTTATAGGCGAAGGTTATAGTCCCAGGTCATAGGTCAATGTTGTAGGTGAAGGTTATAGGCCCAGGTCGATTTCCTAAGCAACACAATGCAGAAAAAAGATAAATAAATAAATAAATAAACTACAATAATAAATTTCTCTTGTGTTTGTCATAATAAAACTTTAAAACCAGAAGCGGATTTAATGGACGCCCTCTATAACACAACCCACAACTACGACATCACTTCCCAAGCTTCCAGACCTACAGACAACAACACACTAGCACCACCTAGTGAAGATTCCGTGAACTAGAGACACAACATGTACTTACCTGTGTACTCAAATAACACACATCATGTAATGCCATATGTACTCAAGTAACAAACAGCATGTACTACTCTACGTACTCACCAACACACACGCGTAATGCCATATGTACTCAAGTAACAACAACATGTACTTACCTGTGTACTCAAATAACACACATCATGTAATGCCATATGTACTCAAGTAACAAATATTCTTGATATTTAGGGAACAAAAAATATCCCTTGAAATTCATGTTAATATTATTGATGGTAGATAAGAGAAAAGATTGTACAAGGGGGAAATATTACCCAGGGAGGAATATTACCTAAGGCGGAATATTACATAGGGAGGAATATTACCTAGAGATGAATATTACCCAGGGAGGAATATTACCCAGGGAGGAATATTACCCAGGGAGGAATATTAATTTAGATGAATATTACCTAGGAGTGAATATTACTAAGGCGGAATATTACATAGAGGAATATTACTTCAGAGATGAATATACCTAGGGAGGAATATTACTTAGAGATGAATATTACCTAGAGATGAATATTACCTAGGGAGGAATATTACCTAGAGGAATATTACCTATGGAAGAAGACATATAGGAGGAATATTAATGCAGGGAGGAATATTACCCAGGAGGAATATACCCAGGAGGAATATTACCCAGGGAGGAATATTATTACCAGGAGGAATATTACCTAGGATGAATATTACCTAGAGGAATATTACCTAGAGATGAATATTACCTAGAGATGAATATACCCAGGGAGTGAATATTACCTAAGGCGGAATATTACATAGGAGGAATATTACCCAGGGAGTGAATATTACCCAGGAGTGAATATTACCTAGGAGGAATATTACCAGGAGAATATTACCCAGGAGGAATATTACCTAGGGATGAATATTACCTAGGGAGTGAATATTACTCTAAGGCGGTACATACATAGGAGGAATATTACTTCCAGAGATGAATATTACCCAGGAGGAATGAATACCTAGAGATGAATATTACCTAGAGATGAATATTACTCAGGGAGGAATATTACCAAGGCGGAATATTACATAGGGAGGAATATTACCGGGGAGGAATATTACCCAGGAGGAATATTACCTATAAGTGAATATTACATGGGAGGAATATTACCTATGAGGAATATTACTCAGAGAGATGAATATACCTAGAGATGAATATTAATTAGGAGAAATATTGTATCTAAGGAATATTATATAGGAGTGAATATTACCTAGGAGTGAATATTATCTAGATAGAATATTACCTAAGGCGGAATATTACATAGGGAGGAATATTACCTAGAGATGAATATTACCCAGGGAGGAATATTACCCAGGGAGGAATATTACCCAGGGAGGAATATTTCCCAGGGAGGAATATTACCCAGGGAGGAATATTTCCCAGGGAGGAATATTACCCAGGGAGGAATATTTCCTAGGGAGGAATATTACTGGGAAAATATAATGGTGTGAGCGGAATGCAATATTGTTATACCCGTCGAGTTGGCAACACTGCAGAGACGTATATAAGGCAAGGGTCACAACACAGGAGTCTTAGTGCTATTTTGATCTGTGAACAGGATGCATCTCTTGGTGAGTGTTGTGGCCCTGGTTTGTGACCCTGGTGTGTGGCCCTGGTTTGTGGCCCCGGTGTACGGCCCTGGTGTGTTGTCCTGATTTGCTGATTTGTGGCCCTGGTGTGTGTTCCTGGGTTTTGGCCCTGATGTGTGGTCAAGGTTAGTGGCCCCGGTGTGTGGCCCTGGCGTGTGGCCAAGGTGTATGGCCCTGGCGTGTGGCCAAGGTGTATGGCCCTGGCGTGTGGCCAAGGTGTGCAACCTTGTTGCGTGCATGTGTTCACTGGTGTGGCCTGGTGTGTGGCCCTGGTGTGTGGATCTGGCGTGTGGCCCTGGTGTGTGGCTCTGGTGTGTGGCCCTAGTATGTGATCTTGGTGTGTGGCCCTGGTGTGGCTCTGATGTGGCCCTGGTGTGGCTCTGATGTGGCCCTGGTGTGTTGTGATTGTGTGCTTCAGCAGTATTGTAATGTGCCCGAGAGAGAGAGAGAGAGAGAGAGAGAGAGCAGAATTGAAACCAAAATAATGTTAAATTTCCAAACCATCCCAAAATAAGTGTACTGTGTGTATGTGTGTGTGTGGCAGACATGGTCCTCCTGCCTGCCATCTACCGGTTTGGTGGGACGTAAAAAAAATAACGTTCCTCTGGGGTCATTGCCTTGGACGGCCGTGTAAGGGCGTGTGCGTCCGGGATATTTAATCTTGTGAATATATCCGCTGAGTGTGTTAGTGATCTTAGCTGAGTGTGTTAGTGATCTTAGCTGAGTGTGTTTGTGATCTTATCTGAGTGTGTTAGTGATCTTAGCTGAGTGTGTTAGTGATCTTAGCTGAGTGTGTTAGTGATCTTAGTTGAGTGTGTTAGTGATCTTAGCTGAGTGTGTTTGTGATCTTAGCTGAGTGTGTTAGTGATCTTAGCTGAGTGTGTTAGTGATCTTAGCTGAGTGTGTTAGTGATCTTAGCTGAGTGTGTTAGCATCTTAGTTGAGTGTGTGTTAGCAGATCTTAGCTGAGTGGGGTGTTAGTGATCTTAGCTGAGTGTGTTTGTGATCTTAGCTGAGTGTGTTAGTGATCTTAGCTGAGTGTGTTAGTGATCTTAGCTGAGTGTGTTAGTGATCTTAGTTGAGTGTGTTAGTGATCTTAGTTGAGTGTGTTTGTGATCTTAGCTGAGTGTGTTAGTGATCTTAGCTGAGTGTGTTAGTGATCTTAGCTGAGTGTGTTAGTGATCTTAGCTGAGTGTGTTTGTGATCTTAGCTGAGTGTGTTTGTGATCTTAGCTGAGTGTGTTTGTGATCTTAGCTGAGTGTGTTTGTGATCTTAGCTGAGTGTGTTAGTGATCTTAGCTGAGTGTGTTAGTGATCTTAGCTGAGTGTGTTAGTGATCTTAGCTGAGTGTGTTTGTGATCTTAGCTGAGTGTGTTTGTGATCTTAGCTGAGTGTGTTTGTGATCTTAGCTGAGTGTGTTTGTGATCTTAGCTGAGTGTGTTCTTGTATTCTAGCTTCCTGATACGTTTTTTGTTTTAACTCTAACGTGGATTACATCATCTATAGTATAACTCTTGTTTTAACTTTGCACCAGATCTTATGAGGTTACTGTGAGGTGATGTCAGTGTTCGCTACCCTGACATCTGATAGTGTTAGATGGACAATTTTTTTTTAGTGTCAGATTCAAGGAACAAATTGTGGAGTAAAATTATACCCTTTGATTTCTTAGCCTGGCTGCCTGGTCTGAGAAGCATGGTGTAATGATTCCTCCTGACTGGTGCTGAGAATCCTTCCAACTGACTGTCTTAAGCCGGACAATAATGGAAATTACACTGATTTCCACCGTAACTAGATACCTCCTCCTCATCTCCAGTTACGGGGAAAAATAACTTACTAGGAGTTAAGGATCCTCGCTGAACTTATTGGTCTATTTAGGAAATTTTTGTCGTAACTAGACTTGCTCTCTCGCCTCCAGTTTGCGGGGAAAAGGATCTGACGAAAGAATTTCTGAGAATTATCGGCCAGACCCTCAGGCTGATTTGGCAGGTCGCCGCCCACTGCTGGCCAACTCCTCTGTTTACCCTTCTTGCATACCTGTGGCTTCCTCACCACCTCACTCTCTCCCTCACGACGGAGTTGAAGCCTCAGCTGAATTCGATTTTTACCAAGACTGTCGAATATAATCTAGGACTGCCAAAGTGAACTGTAGTTAGTAAAGCATACTACGTCTTAGACTATGAATAACTAGAACCATTTAGGGACAGGACCAAGGGTATGACACAACATCCTGACCACCGGGGGGCTGAGAAAGAACTTTAGTGACCGCTGCTCTTTAACTGTAATCATTTTGCGCTACTGGTAACAGGATGAGTGTGGGGTGCACAATAAACTAGCTACTGTATGCGGTAAAATTTAAGTTCTTACTTGAACCTTATCTTTTGTAATGTTAACTACGAACACGTTCATCATGCTTGATTGAACACAGTTTTTGAGAATGGCATTAAGGTACACCGTCAGGTTAATATTTGCTTTATTAAGATCATTAATAGGATAGTGAGTCCAAAGCACTTTATGAAGAGCCTTAACTCATGTATACTTCAGTTATATTAATCCTTCGCTATACTGACTCCAAAAGACATGGTCAGCAGGGCAACGTACTGCCACTTAAGAAGCGCGGGCCCTCTCTTGTGGGCTCAGGTAAGCTGGTCTGGGGTCCGGGTTTGAGGACGGCCTGTCATTCCTTTCCTCCCGCCTGACAACAGCATCTAATTGAACAATTGAAGGATAAATAAATATCCCCTTAAAAAAGAAGAAGTCATGATAAATAATTTGAATAGCAACTGATGAAAAATAAATAAACTGAAAAAAAATGACAAGAATGCAGGACGTATTGCCTCTAGTTCTGCAAGAGTCAAACCTAACTTATTCCTATAAGGATTGAGGCCCTTGAGGAAATTTACTTCAATCCATTGGTAAGGATTGGACCTGGGCCCACATATCCAGCCACCCAGAGCAAGAGGGCGCGGGCACGAGTCATTGCCCCCAGACCGTTGACCGTATCACCTTCCCTCCAACGTCACCCCTCCCACCATACAAAAGGCGACTGTTGCCATCCCATTATTATTATTATTATTATTATTATTATTATTATTATTATTATTATTATTATTATTATTATCATCTAATTTTTATTTACTTTTTATTATTATTATTATCATCTAATTTTTATTTACTTTTTCTTCTTCAACAACAAAATGATGTGAAATATATGTAAAAATGCCTTTTGTTTGTTTGTGTCGGCATATCTGTCTGTCTGGTGCTTTTCTAACCAAGTACTGAGTGTGTCAACTCTTGCAGGCTGTGTTGGTGAGTGTGGTGGTGGGCACTGCTGTGGCTGCGCCTGACCCAAGGTTCCGCTTTGCCTACTCCATCCCCACACATGAGGAACTCGTCCCACAGGCAGGAATCGCCCCACAGCCAGGATTCGCCCCACAACTATGGTGAGTCTCTACGGCGCCAGTTCTTCTACTCAGGTCTTGATAACTTCGTATCTTGAGGTCGTACCCAGTATCTCTCTGTCTGATCCTGGTCGACCTCCTGCAAACCCCAGTTTATATCCAGGTACAGTTTATAAGAATAAGTGTAAATAGCAAAGATTCCAGTATATCCCCACCTGACTTGTCAACTCCCCGCAGGAGACAGTTCATGGATAGGATCGGTCCTGTCTACACCTACGGATACGAGTTACCTGGTCGGGTCCACTACGAGAGCAAGGACGGCCAGGGGGTCGTCAAGGGCACCTTCGGCTACACCGACCCCTACAGTGAGGCTCCCTAGGCTCTCGTAACTCTTTATATGTCTCATTGGTCAGGTTCTTTAGTATCTATCTTGGCGCTGTTCTTTATCCTTTCTCTTAATCTACTTTTTCATCGAATTTCTTTCCCACATCTTCCTTTTATATCCATTTCTTACTTTTTTTTTTTACTGTCGTCATGTCACCCTTCTGGTACAATTCTTTTCCCTCGCCTTCAGCATCAACTACAGCTCTTCCTCACACTCGCCATAACTCCCCGCCCCCCCTGGCACCAACACGTCCCCTAACTACCAAAAATCACCCCTAAAAAACCTAGTTTCCTCCTCTCCCATCTTCTTCCCTATTGAATCTTATTCCTTGTCTTCACGTATAGTTCTGTTTTCAGATTAAAGAAGTTACATTTCAACCCCATTTTACATTTGCTTGACGATAATGAGAATAATGCTGAAACTTTATCATTATCAGTGTTTCAGCAGCAGCAGCCTTCCTCATTTCTTTGCTCGGGTGATACTTCCATGGTCGACGGCCTCATGAAGTGATCCCTCCCCCAAGGCTATGCCTTGTCATTCAGTCACTGTTGTACTACACACTCACACACACGAGCACTCCTCATCAATCTCGTCTTCCTCCTCCTTCTCCTTCTACTCCTCCTCCTCGTTTTCCCCCTTCTCGTCCTCCTCCTCCTTCTTGTCCTCCTCCCTGCACTTGTTATTTTACCTATATATACTTATTTTCTTAGTACGTTATTCACCACAATCCTCGTATAACCTGTATTTAGTGAGGTTAGGTTAGGGTCAACTATTTCTCGAGTATTAAGGTTGCCAGCCCACACTAACACACAGGTCCTCCTCAGAATCTCCCGCCGTGTGGAAGTACGTGAGTGACACCAAGTCTGGCTTCCAGGTCGAGAGCGACAGTCCCCAGCAAGTACCACAGGTAAGGGGTCAAAGGTCAAGGTACCACGGGGGTGGGGTCAAGGGTCAAGGTTCCACAGGAGAGGGGTCAAGGGTCAAAGTGCCACGGGTGAGGGGTCAAGGGTTAAGGTGCCACATGTAAGGGGTCAAAAGTCAACGGTTATGTCTAATTGAAACGACTCAACCAAAAGTAATTAATGGTTATGTATTTTTTAAAACTTTTCTTGTTGAAATTTAATTACAGTGAACAAAATAGATGAACATTAATCCTAAATCAGGTAAATGTGGCTGTATTGATGAATGTGAACTTCGCGGGTGACTCAGCCACATATTGTTAGAAACTAAAACTATTGTTATTAGTATTAAGATCGTAATCAGATGTTGCATAGTAACTTAATACCAAGACATTGACAACGTAGAAACATCGTAATCTTAAATGTTTATCAAGTAAGGTGTAAATTATAAAGGGAAAGCTACTTAATCACTTTTAGTAATCACTTATAATTATCTGGACACTTAATTCACTTTACAGCTGCAGACAGTAACTTCACACAATAACAGACAAGAGAACAGTGATAGGATACTTTTGCATATTATTTTCTTGAAGAATATAATTTCTGTCTTGTTTGTGTACAGTCAGAAGAGTCAGCAGGGCAGAGCGTCGTGCACCATGTACCACACAGCCAGCCACAGGTGGTGGTGCCTCCCCAGCAGCAAGTGAGGTCCCCCGGCGTGGTAGTAGGATCTCCTGAACAGGATGTCGCACTCTTGCCCCTCCTGAAACAGGCTGCCGAGGCTGGGCAGGTCTTGCCAGCTGGCTTTTCACCTTCAGGAACACCCCAATTCGTGGTGACTCCTGAGCTGGCAGAAGAGGCTGGTGGAGTGTCAGCCTTGGCCTACCGGCTGGGAGCCGTGCCTGTAGCAGCTGTGCACGACGTCCAGGTTAGACCCTCACACTTCAGAAACAACCAGGCAGACTTCTCCCCAGTCCTCGTGCACCAAGAACGGCCCGAGGCAATCTTCTACACGCTGGAGGTGCCTATCCAGTAACACAAGTAGACTACAGCAACTCTCCTGATAGCTACAACACACTTTGAATAACTGTATTACCTTGACAGCTTCAGTTAGACATCTTCCGACAAGTTATAGGAATACTCTCATCATCGACTCATGTCAATAGTATACCACACGCAGTATCTAACTGTATGTGTATTTCATTGTGTTTATATTTAGGATGTTGCCAAGGGAAGTAATGAATAGTAGATAACAACACAGTCTTATTAGGAGCAAAAACATATTTCAATTGTTTAAGACGTGGGTGTTATACTCACTACATCACACATACCTTGCTTGTTGAACTCCGGCGATCATTCCAGATGTATCAATGGGTGTCGCAGGCAAAAGAGGGCTAAATAGTACAATGCTGTTTTCTATTGACGCTTGTCTTATTGTTAGTGGTAAAAATATTTCCTAAACGATTTTTCCTCGCCGCTGGAGTACCCCAGGTTGTTAACAGTTATGTTTTTTCTTCTTCAAATGTTATGAAATCTCTCCAGGATGAGGCTATGGTGGAACAAGTCGCTAGCTCATATCTATTATTGTTCCTCTACGGCAAAGCTTATTGGAGGTGGACCCGCATACCTAATTCGTTTTAGACAGCTATTTATAGCGGAGTTTAGCTTCGTCGGTAGTTTAAAGCTTGCAGAACTGGAGAACTCTCACATTAGGGGCAATAGGTATTTCTCTTTCATTTTCGTCTTGTAATGACTTTCAGCACACAGGTGGATACAAGAGTGATCATAGAAAACGAACTACATACTACATTGAAGAAAACGGTACAACTAAACCTAAGTGAGAGGGAAGTCTATTCTGTTTCTTAAAATAAGACATTCGTATTTATTTTTTTATTTCTAATACATATAAGTTGTGCTTCGTTCCTGTGTATTTGTTTTGTTGTGTTCACCTGTTAGTATGGATACTTTAAGAACTTACGTTTGGGCATTGTTATTGAAGAGATACATGTTATGTTCAATAAATGTTCACTTACGCCACACTGTTTAACATTTCTGCTTCCAGTAATGAAAAACTTTACCTTTTCTACCATAGTTAACTTTATCATCAATATAATTAATACATAACGTGAATGGTTATAAAATCCCAATCCACATAGTTGAATTCCTTACTTAATGTGACATTTATGTACTTCCTCCCTGTACAGTATGTGTGTCTGCAGGTTTGCTAGAACAGTAGTTTCTGTGTGTGTGTGTGTGTGTGTGTGTGTGTGTGATGACACTTCCAAGACAAGAGTGAGTCAACAGGAGGAATGATCCAGATGAGAGCGAGTCTTTTAACATCGATGACTATGTAAGAGAGGACCTTAGAGCCGGTCAGGTGAGGGTGCGGGGGTAAAGATGACCGACTGAAACAATCAAAGTACACTGACTGACCTCATCACCCATACAACTTTGTTTTGTAGAAGCTATGAGGTAATTTTTCTTATTCCAACATGTTAATTATTAGACTCACTACTACTACTTTGCCGTTATTCGGAATCGAGTATGACGATCATCCAGCTATGATACAATGATATGAGTTATTAAGGAAGTCACCGTCATTGGTGAGCTTTGAGGCGCCAATCCATTACCTACGCCATGCACGACATCACCCCTGCCATGACAAAACATATTATTGGCTCTGTGTGTCGCTTCATCCGTGGCCTTATTAAGTACTATAAGGTTGAGACAGTAGTTCCCAGGTACGGGTGATGGGCGCGGTCAGGGCCATAAGGTCTCAGGTCACGCCTCTCTCGGGCACGACCTTGAGTCCTTATCCTCCATTATCATTTTCTTCTTTTATTATTTTCTTCTTCTTTTCCTTTTTCTTCTTCTTATCATTATTGAATATAGTGAAGATATAGTCGGTTCCCATCTCTTATAACCAGACACACAAACACACGAATGCTGGACCTCATCATATTGGTACTACCCATCACATGACATTGTACTTTAAATGTCACTGGTATGTGGTATATGGTAAGAGTACGTCAAGATACAAATAGTACTTGATATATACTGCTGATAAAACTTGTTGGATAATAAAGAAGGAAAATGGATTCTTACAGGAAAGTCACAGAGGATAGACTTAATTATATACCAAACACCAAGCCCAGCACTAAGAGCTTAAGAGGAAGTGAATTAATTAGCCAAAGGTCGTGAAAAGTCTTGTACCAACACCAGGAACTAGTCGTGATGAGGTGGTGGTTTAGGCTTTACATTTTCATTTGCTTTCATTTAAATTCTTCTGTGAAATGGATTGTGTTAGGCGCCATGATCAGATGAAGTGTTCCCCGTTACCTGAAGCTGGAGGCTGTTGTATACTTGCACGTTACTATACATCGGTTGTTAATGTATATGAGGGAAACTTTATCTTATGTAACAGTTTACTTCGTAGGCAGAGACTAAGACGCCTTCTATGGAACTTTTATCATGTGTCACTATAATATATCAGAAAATTTAACATAAGGTTGTGTATGAAACTGTACCAAGGTGGAATGTTAACTTAAATTAATATATATTTCAGGGGAATGTTGATAATGTTTTTTTAATTGGTTTGGATGTTGGTTTCTTGATCTCGCTGAAGTCAACCAAGTGCCTTAAAGTACCATCATCTTCAGTACCAGTACGTACAAGGATCCTCCAAGCCAGGGTGTGTATCATCTTTATTTAGCTCTTTGTTCATCACTGGTAAATATAATTGTTCCTAATGGTCTAAAAGAGTTGACTGATGTAGAAACTTAAGCTCAGTATACAACAATAGTGAACGGTGCTTAATAACCTTGGTAGTTGAAGCATCTAGAACGACAAAGAACAAAATACTGTCCTTGTAATAGGATAAAGTAAGGTAAGGGCATCGAGATAAACAAAAAAGCATCACTAAGAGTGTTTATGCTCTACACATCACAGTAGAAAGACACAGCTGCACACCCTCACCCTCCCTCCCTCACCATCTCGCAACACATCTGCTACATCTTCCCTCACAACTCAGAGTCTTGGTAAACTTTCAGAGCTCACAGTACATAATGTGAAGTGTTTGTTATAGTAATTAGTCTCTATATAGACGAAGTTAACAGCGAGATGTACTGATGAACAGATGTGTTGAGAAGTAACTGTCACTCCCTTGCTAACTCCCTACAACCTGCTTGGGTCATCTCAGCTGTGCCTGAACTACAAATTGGTAAACAAGAAAATGCCCTTTAAAGCTTACAGGTAACACCATTGTCGACACACCGACCTCTCCAACACCCCAGCTGCCCTGCTGACACACCACACACCCCGCTCTCCACCAATTAGTGTACATATAAACAGGACAACACAGCCTCAGCCTCCCACCACACAGTGAGTCTACCTGGGACTTTTTTTTTTATTAGTGAGTAACCTCTCGACTAAGCTCCGCCTAATTTTGGTGTCCCCGGCGACTGTCACAGCTCTCAGATGTTGATTGGTTATGAGTTGTTCACTAAGTTGTGCCTCAACCATGACGGCGTGACTCTACAACCCACAACCACTTAACCTGTAAGAAGGTTGTGGACGCCAACAGTAAACGAAGTCTATTCGATCGGTCACTTAGAAAAGACTCTCGTCTCCTCTTCCTCCAGACAACTCCCTCGCCAGGTGTAACACATGTGAAGGTCGTGGGGCCTAACTCATCATCCTCAACTGACTTATTCACGACCTTCGGGTGTGGGTGTGGAGGAGGGGCAGACGGAGTGGGGTGGGCATGGGTGGTCTACACGGATATGGCAGCGGGCAGGACGGGGTTGTCGTTCACGTGGGGCGGGCCAGACAGGACGTCAGAGGTGCCGGGTATCAAGATCACCGGGAACACCGCCTCGGGCGCCTCTTGCAGGTGCTGCAGCTGCACGTCGGTGATTATCGCCATGTTTTCAGTGTCGGAGTAGGTAGTGATTCCGTCACCACTGGGAAATGTTTCCTCCACATCTGACAGAAGCAGAGCGCCGTAAGGACTGGCAATTTTCTCGTCCTCCTGTAGCTGTGGCTGCTGTGGTTGCTGTGCCAGCTTTAAAAGTATCTGCTGCTCCACCTGGTCATCCTCTTGGGTTATGTCTTCCTGCTGTAGGGGGGCAGCACCCCCGGGGATGGCCTGGCCTCTGGCACGGTAACCTTGTCTTCCGGAGTCATAAGACACATCCACCTCCCGACCCTCCGGCGTCCTGTAGAAGTAGCGGCCCTTCACGGTGCCGTCAGGGTCCCGGGACTCTACACGCCACTGGTCGTTTCCTTGCATCCCAAACCTGTAATGATGGCCACTGTCACCTCCTCTGCCACATTAAAAACAAAACTCCACGCGCATTAGGGTATGTCGTGTTCTGATTGGCTGTGCCTTAACATATCACGATGGGTGCTCATATTCCGTCTATTACTGGCTAAGTTTACATTATCATTATGTCAACTAAGAGTAGGACAGTTAAGCTTGGTAGATCAGGTGAATAGGCTACCTACAGGCTAGGCAAGGTTAGGCTGCGTGTAGGTTAGGTTAAGTCAGGTTAGGTTCGGTATTAGACCAAGGTGAATACAGGTTAACGTGAGAAACTCAGGGAACTTAAGTTAAAAATGGTGAGTACAGGTGAGTACAGGTGAGTACAAATGACAGTATATGAACATGGGTGAACATAACCTTTGATGAACAAGGCTGAACACTAATGCCTCTTCTTTTATACCTTGATCACTGAACACAGAACGCATGACACAGATCAGCTTGAATGAAAACAGATGAACTTTGATGAACACAAATGAAATTAGATGAACATAAATATATATACAACAATAAGTTTTGCTGAACTCTTGTGAACTTTGACTCTGGTAACAAATTGAACAAGTAATATTCCTTAATAACTAATATTATATTATTATTATTATTATTATTATTATTATTATTATTATTATTATTATTATTATTATTATTATTATTATTATTATTATTATTATTATTATTATCATTAATTTTATTATTATCATCATTATCATTATTATCATGGTTATAATGGTTATCATAATCACCAACAGTACAAACTACCCAGTGATCACTTAACTACCCTGTGATCTCTTAACTACCCTGTGATCTCTTAACTACCCCGTAATCTCTTAACAACCTACCTATAACTACCATCAGGGTTATTCCAAATGAACATGTTGTTAGAGGCGACGGGGAGATCAGCGAGGTCAATATAAGGTTCACTTCGGTGCTCAGGTCGAAGGTCATCCGCCGGGGACGCCCACACGGCCGCCCCTGTTATCACCGCCGCCCACACCACCTGCAAATAATGACGAGTTTAGAGTCACAAGTCTTGGGTGGCTCTTTGATCAACAGACAGACAGACAGACAGAAAGATACATAAACTTAGCATTAAACATAAGATAATAATAATAATAATAATAATAATAATAATAAAAAGCAAAAGAATTAATAAGAGACGAAACGTGACCCCATTACTCAGATCCTGGTAAGGTGATCGCTGACTGGTCGAAGCTTTTGTTGACACATTGGCCAAAACGATCGCTGATTGGCTGAGGCATTACACCCAGTTGATGCACCCGGATTCCTATATTTTATTCGTCTTTGTTTATTCTAGTGTAAATAAACAAACACACAAACAAACAAACAAACTATTTTTGTTTACATTAACGTTATTTCTTCGTCAGTGTGTTTGGTAAGAATATAGATTATGTGTCCTTGTCTGTGTGTGTGTGTAAGAGGACTTTTGAGTTACCAGACCAGACCTCTCTCTCTCTCCTACCACGTGTGAGAGGCTGGCTGAGGAGAGGACATGAAGTACTGTGAAGGAGGAGGAGGCGGAGGAGGAAGAGGAAGAGGAAGAGGAGGAGGAGGAGGAAGGGGAAGAGGAAGAGGAGGAGGAGGAGGAAGCCGTCAAATAAAAGAAATGAACGGAGTGACATAATACACACACACACACACACACACACACACACACGTAAAAGAACAATTATAAAACAGACACACAGACACAAGAGCACAGTGACATTAACCAGAGGTGAAGTCAGGTCATAACCAGACAGAGAACCTTTGCTAACTATAACCCAACTCATTATTTGGTCATAACTAATAGATGTTAATTACCTTAGTGTGGACACAATGGAGAGCAGTTTGTTGAGTGATTCTGTTTGTGATGTATGTTTTAGTATGTTGTTTAAAGGGGTTTTGTATACATTCCTTTACACCATCCCTTACAAACACAGCCCTATCCTTGAACAGTCACTTTATACCAACTCACAAAAAACACTTTCCAAAGACAAGAAAATATATGTATGTATGTATGTATGTATGTATGTATGTATGTATGTATGTAAATTACACAATATATGCAGGAGGTTCTTCTGTGTAAAGTCAATTGAGTTAAAAGCTGTGCGTATGAAGGTCTGATCATGAAGTTTGTATGATGATATTTATCGATTGTGTGTGTGTGTGTCTCTGGTCGAACAGGCTGGCCAACCTTGAGATCCGGTCCAGGGGGGAGGTGCCACTGGGTGCGGAGCCTGTTATGCCGCTCTCAACAGATGGCACACTTGATTTATAAGAGCGAAGTATATAAATTTCTGTCAGTCATGAATGATACCCCCAGATATCCACATGAGGGTGTATAAGAGAAACGTTTAGTGATGATCCACACAGGTGTACAGGGTTGGATACTAGCAGAGGCAGCTTGATCTTGTAACACACACTCAAGATCAGGTCTTAGGGAGGAAAATAATGTTGTTTATTGGACTTTGGTGTGGGGAAACATGTTCTACAAGCAGGTTTACAAGGTACTAGGTATTAATGGGGTAATATTCAGGCGTATTTCGGTTAATATCTCGTTTAATGGGCAGACAATACCAGGTACACGTTAATAGGTAGGAATGTGTATCTCAGTTAAGGTACCGCCCTGACTGTGTGTACATGACGAGGTTAAGTAGTTCTTAGAGACATATGTAGTGTTATTCAAGTTAGGGTTCGATTCCTATACACTCACCACATAGGGAACACCTCACCTTTCCCCAATAAAACACCTGGGTTACAATAATTAATACAAACTCGTTCTATTTTGTAAGAGTATCACAGGATTTTTTTTGGTGCCACACCCAACTAGGTTGTGGTGTGTGATGATCCACTCCTTATAGCTAAAGTAGACCATAAATTACTTCTTTTAGTTATATTTCCACGTGGGAATTACTTTTCCTATAATCTATACTCAAATCTACATGTTATGCTGAATTCTACACCTCAGATGTGACAGAGGAGAGTAGAGGACGTATCACTCTGTTACATGTTGACGTTTGTGTCGCGTTTACCTTCTGGCTCACACATTCTCTCAGGTATTTTGTTCTCTGAGTTTTCTACTCTCTTTTGATTCCTCACATTGATTCATTTTCCCCCTCATTCTCTTTCCCCCCTCCTCTTCCTTTTACCCTTCTCTTCTCTCTCTCCTCTCATCCTTCAATTCTTCTTCCTCCTCTTTCCCCAATCGTAAGCGTTAGGTGATACTCAGTTAGGCCAGAGACTCTTAGTGAAGGGATCATTGACTCGCACCCGCCTGGACCGTCACCCCAACTGAGACTGAATTAATAGTCTCGTCACTTCTTTATATACGGCGTGCTGTTAGTATTTATTATGGGCAGACAGCAGCGCCCCCTTCGTTACTCTGAGCGGAACTAATTCAGAATTGGTGATGTATGTAAATCTGAGTAATTTATCGTAGTGTGTTAGTGGGTAATGTTGGAGGGCATCAGATGGAAGTCATATCACTACAACCCTGCAAGTTACCACCACGACACGACGCAACACAAGACACGACACGACACGACACGACACGACACGACACGACACCTTAGAAACCAAGTCGCAGATGGTCCTCTCAGCTGAACCGAGAAGAACTAAGACAACATTAACAGGTGAAAAAAAAATCCGAACATCATCTCCTCAAACATCAATCCAACATCACTAACAATGGTCTCACAACATTCACACACACGAGAGTTGTACCAGGGAAGGCCAGGGTCAGAGGAGCAGTTTGTTTAAGCGTTTTGGTCGAGTGATTCGGTAAATGTACCTTCCTCAGTTCCTAGCATGGCGGATTGTCTTCTCTCGCCAGCCATGACACCAGTTTCTTCCAATGTGCTGAAGGCCGTGCAGCGATAGGTGAGGAATGGCATGTGGCCCCCAGGTACAAATTAAATATGCTACCTGTTGTAATTTGGAGGTGTTACTTGTCCGGGGGGTGTGGGGAGATATACACTAGGAGACGCTGCTGGGGGAGTGGTGGTGGTGGTGGAGGTGTTGGAGGTGGCGTTAGAGGTAATGGTGGTCGTGGTGGAGGTGGTGGAGGTGGCGTTAGAGGTAATGGTGGTCGTGGTGGAGGTGGTGGAGGTGGCGTTAGAGGTAATGGTGGTCGTGGTGGTGGTGTTGGAGGTGTTGGAGGTGGCGTTAGAGGTAATGGTGGTGGTGGTGGAGGTGTTGGAGGTGGCGGAGGTAATGGTGGTCGTGGTGGTGGTGGTGGAGTGTTGTTGGCGTTAGAGGTAATGGTGGTGGTGGTGGAGGTGTTGGAGGTGGCGTTAGAGGTAATGGTGGTCGTGGTGGAGGTGTTGGAGGTGGCGTTAGAGGTACTGGTGGTCGTGGTGGAGGTGGTGGAGGTGTTCTCTTACGTATACCCTGATCCAGCCCAAGTCCCGTCGACTCCTGACACCACCACCACACTACAACACCACCACCACACTACAACACATCATCTGACTGTTAGCCTTAAGAGTATAACCACACACACACACTATAGCCTTGAAGCCCTGGCATACACTCACGTACAGTATGGCAGACCCGTGGGTGTGGTAAGACTGATCTGATCGACCGCACGTCTGATTGACCAATGATCTGAACGACCACTAGCCTAATCCACCACTATCCTAATCCACCACCAAACTAATCCATCACCATCCTCATCCACCAGTGGCGTGATTCATCTGTGGTGTAATTGTGCTGCTAGACAAGGTCAGATGTGGTCAGTCGGGTAGATCTGGTAACCTGTCTGAACCACACCATTATCCTATACTAAATTCTATCCTGCTGTGTCCTGCTGTCCTGCTATGTCCTATTGACCTGCTCTGTCCTACACTAACCTGCTCTGTCTCTTTTATCCTACACCCCTGTCGTCTGCACAATCCCTCCCTGCCAGCCATAATACCCTACCCTACCAGAACCTAAAATCACCAGAGCCATCGTGCCCAGACCTATCAAGCACCGCACTCAGCCAGCCAGCCAGCCAGCCAGCCAGCAGGTCAGGGCGGCAGGTGGGGCCAGGTATTTCCCACAAGGATGCAGCAGGTAAGGGCAGTGACGGTCAGGAGGTCAGGTAGCGGTCAGTACCCGGATACTCAAAAGGTTCGTATGTTGAATTTCCACTCGGGTAGATGAGGGAAGTGAGAGGTCTTCTATCTTACTGGTTCACTTAGGGGCACTCACGATAGCTACTGGAAATGACGTCAAAATTGCGCTGAGACTCTACTTTGTCTCATCCCAGCAACGGGGGGAAAGGAGAGAGGGAGGAGACAATCTCTTTGAATTCTAAAAAATATAGGAAATGTTATGAAATCCCTTGAAAATTAATTAATCTTCAGGTGATACTTTCAGGGTGTTACGTTACCTTAGCTAATTGGCCGTCAGTGAGGCACAAATAAAGATTACTTTGCTGTTTGACAAGTATTTGCATAATTCCTTTTTTTTCGATGACCAAGTGGGTACGAATAACTCAGATTACTGATAGATTAAAACACTTTTCTATTGATTTTCTTTTCTATTTCTTTTCGTTATTTTGATACACATAAAATATTAATTATAAAAACAACTGGACTGTAAATTTTTGTTGGGAATGATTTACAAATTACGTAAGGATATCATACGGATCTATTTATTTTACTTACTGGCATTTGATCAGTTTTCTTTGATCAGTAAATAATTCCGTTTTCTATATTTTGATCCGACGAGAAAGAGAAACTGATATAGATTTGCAAGTGAGTGACCGACTATACAGGTGGTAGGTGTGTTTATCATATACACCTGAGCACCCTACTACACGTTAGCACACCTGAACACTGTACACACCTGTCTCTCAGCACACTTATACCTCATCTTAAAGGAACAACAGTTAAGAAAATTTATAAAATAATAATAAGTGAAGAAGATAATACATATAACAAAGTATTCTAAATATAATATATAAACAATTTGACTATTTTTCTTTCAAACTCTCCTAGAAATAATATTAAC